CACTGCAAGATCCCAGCCCAGCTCTGGAGCTGCTCCATGCCCTGCCAGCGCTGCGGGGACTAGTCTCCATGGAAAGAAACCCCAGCCTTGAGCTATCACAGCAGGGCTGCTGCTGGGGTCTCAAGGGAAACTGGCCCCAGCCACATGGGCAAAGGCTGCTGGGAAATGGAGTCTGACCGCCAGCCAGATCTGCCATTTTGCCCCACCCCTGATACACATCAACATGTCACCAAAACCGCTCCTACAACCATTTTTAAATTATAACTTTTTAAGCCGCCTATTGCAAAAACACCCAAAATAAGTGACCTCCAAATAAAACAAGCCCAAAAAAACACAACCTGCAACTCTCAAAAAATTAAAGTGACTTTTAAAAAAAACCAAGCCCAATTCTGTTTCTTATAAGCAGATTTGGCAACCTTGGCAAGACCCCACCCCGAGCCAGAGCCAAGCTGCGAGGGACAGTCAGGGGAAGGAAGGAGGTGGGCAGGGGGGTAGAAGCTGCAGAGGGGAGGTGGAGGGGAAGGCAGGAAGTTGCTGAGTCTTCCTTTGGCCCCGCCCCATGCTCAGAGCCACAGCAAGCCCTTGTTCCCCTCCTTTGCTTCATATGCAAATATACACTGATGGGGCAGGGGGAGACACACCTTGTCTTATATTTGAGTAAATGTGGGATCTACTAATTGTAGACATTAGATTAACCAGATAAATTAGCTGCCTTCCAAAACACTAAATTTAAAATACTGCAAGCCACTCAACCTTAATACAAGTTGAACTACAAAAACTGTAATTTAGTTATCAAAACAACCTGTGTGTTATATTTTGTAACACGCTATATTTATTAAGGGTGAGAACATGCTTCTCTTACTGCTCTTAAGTAGAATTCACTCACATAAGCAGTCCTGTTACATCCAGTGGGCCTCGCTGCAGGATGGCAGAATGAGGCTTAGACCTTAGAGAAGTAAAAGACCTATGCATCCTCCTGCCCTGCACACCCAACTCATAAAGTACATTTTCTAGCGCTTAATTCTGTGCAGTGTCAAATGTTTCAGGAGATGTAGCTTGCACAACTTCCATACCACATATATTTCAGTGGCCAAATTACAAACCTGTGTGTGTCAGTATAGCCCTCTCCCTCCCATCCCCAGAAATTATCAAAAAGTCTCTCCACTGATTCTAGTCCTTCCCTCACAGGGCTCTGTACCTCAGAATAGAGAGGCAGGGTAGATCTGCACCTTAGAGACTAACCAAAGTATATGTATCAGTATCTGTATCACAGAAGTCTTTGTGAGCTGGAGCTCAGATGCTGTCAGAAGATGTGCAGAAAGCAGAGTAAGGAAAGAGGATCAGAGTTCTGGAACTTGGAGGCAGTAGCTAAAACAAAATCTGGGGCCAGCTGGTATTAGTCAAGTTGGAGAGGTGGGGCTTCACATCAATTATACTGGGAAAACAGTTGGGATATTATACACAATTTGGTGACACGGAGGCCAGAATTGATTTGGAGAAGTGAAGATGGCCAACACTAATTGGACTGGGGAAGGAGGAAGCCAGAATAACTAGGGGCCAACCTATGGATAGGTATCTCTATGGCAAAACACAGCAATAGTTTAACAGTTTTTAGTAGCACTATACTGGAGTTTAGAACAGGAGGAGCATATCTTCATGTCTGCTTTAATGTGCAGTAGCCTATTTTACTACTCATTAAAGTGTAAAGTCAAAAACTGTGCTAATACACTAATGCACACTAAAATAGCGTGCACTTTTGCTACTCATATTAGAGGTACTAAATTTAATGTGCAGTAGCAAAAGTGTATTAATAAACATGCAGACATGCCCAAAGTGAACCAAAATTCTATATAGGTTGACATGAAGAATGAAATTAGGCTGGCAGAGTGTAAAAGTTGGAATTCATCCAGGATGCAATACTGCTTCTACTCAGAAAGTGCCACTGTGATTTTTAATGGCTGTTAGTGGTCAAGACTGGTTTCACATCTCACCTTCTATAGCAGCATAATGTCTCTTAGCACCATGCTAGAGCACTAGTTCAATACTGACTCAGAAGGGAAAAGGTCTCTTTCTAAATCACTAAAACTATTTTCTGCAGCTTTAACCGTTCCTTTGAGATTTTACATCCAAGTAGTGACCTAGCTTGACCCCATGAGCTTGCAAGAACTGACAATGTCACATCACAAGGCTTTACAGTTCCAGAAATATGCTAAAAAAATTGTGTGTGTAATCCTATCACAGGCCTGAAATGTGCCATGCCTACCTGGAGTGAACAAGACCACACAACTAGTTAAGACTGCTACTGGCTTTTTCAACAATCTGATTCAGAAGTTTTTGACTTAAAATTCCTTTGCAAAGGAGTCTTACTAGAATATGAATATCCCCTCCCCCTGCCTTTCCCCCAAGACCATCTTCTGAAACCCACATGGGAAAGGCTAGTGACAAGTTTACTGTTTAATATTGCATAACTCAGCAGAGCTATAACTGAGACTAGATAATGACTAAGAGAACGTACTGAAGTATCTCACTTTGATATCATAACATGAAGGTATTTTGGAAATATTTTAAATTATTTATGAAGTTATTTATTTCTATAGTTCCCCTTACCAAAGGCCTATACAACTTAGTAAGTGGTGAGTCACATGGCTTCATAGATAAAAGAACAAGCAATATAGTATTAACAAGTTGTAAACTCTACAAAAATTAGTTTTTCTGTGAAGTCTATGGCATACTCATAACTGATAAGTCCAGAAGGAGGAATCATTGCGATCACATAGTCTGGCCTACTGCTAAACGGGCCACAACACTTCACTGAAAGAACACACAACATATGATGGTATAATGTGGCCTCAAGGTTTCTCTGGCGCCTGTTTGGCAGGAGATGTATTATTCATAGGAGCCAACTAAATTCATAATATTTTCATAGTGTGTGTGTATATTTAGGAAATCAGACTTGATAATACCCTTGACTAATGTTAGTCTTCTCTCTATTATAGCTAGTTTAAGCACAGTGTTTTATTCCTAGCTGTTAACTTGCTGCCGCAAGTATGCATGCCTGATGTTGTGCTTTCCATTGCATTGGTTCCTTTACAATGAGAAAAACCTGAAAGAACTGTTTTTTGGGGTGGGGGGTTGTTTTTTTGTTTTTAACAGGTCATTAAGAATAAGCATGTCTCCTAAAATAAGCCCTCTACTCCAGTATAGGGCAAGCTAACACAGGCAAACGCAACAGAACAGTATCGACCAGTTGAAGAGACATGGTAATTTTACTTTTGAAAGCCAGTGCAAAACCAGACAAATTAGACTGTGGCTGGAAAATGCTGCACTGTTAGGTGATCTCTCCCAGGGACATTGGATGAGGTTGGCCCTACAAGAGTTAATGACAAAACTCAGATGGATTTATGTATGGTCAACATATTGCTCATTGTACCCAAGTCAGTACAATACCTCTGGAAAGCATTATGAATATTCAGAGCAAGTGTGTTTGCTGCATCCTCTACAGCAGTGCCATATGTACTTCCTTTCCTTCCTATGCAGATCAGTTTTTAGTCAAATGAAGGAACAAGTGGTTCTTGCTTCCCCATATGAAATTGTATTGCTTCTCTTTGAAGTACTCAGTTGCTACTTCCTTTACCCTAAGATAGAATGGGCTTTTTCAGTGAAAGAAAGGACTCAGATGAACTCTCTTTACTGCTAGTCATTCCTGAGTGCCTATAAAGGGCTTGTCACAAATTATACCATAATTATTCTTAAAGATACAGAATGAAATGCTGGAACCAATAAAGACAGTGGGAGTTTTTCAATTGACTTCAATGGTGCCAGAATTTCAATTTATAAAAAACAAATCAATATACACAAGAGAAGTTCAGAGGAGCTGATTTTACAAGAGGCTCAACAATGAGGGCCCATGCTTTGAGATCAGGATAGAGTCTAATATACCTAAGAAAGGAAGTTAACCCACTTGCTATTGCTATTTTTTTTCATGAATTAAATTGTATAATATGAAAATATTCACTAATCTGCAGCTGAAATCAATATTTTAAGTGCCTTTTTTGAGAACAGGTCATAGAAAAACAGGACTGGAAGGGACCTAATGAGGTCATCTAGTCCAGCTCCCTGAATAAAGCAGGATCTTCTGTGATGAAATCATCCCAGCCAAGTCTCTAACCTCCTCTTGAAAACTTCCAAGGGCAGAGATTCCACATCCTTTCTAGGTAGCCTTTTCCAATGTTTAACCACCCTCATAGGCCGCTTGTACATACAATGGAGTTTTAGTCCATAGGGTTCCATTCTATGCCCCCTAAATTGAAATGGTGAGTTTTCAATTGAAATGGTGGGTTTTATTTTTCTGTCACTGTATATATGATATTATCCTGAGGGCTGCAGGTGCCTGCTGAAGGCAGAAGTAGCGAGGGGCCGGATCCTTTTTTTTTTTTCTGGTGGAGCCTCTCCCGTGGCCAGGGGGCCATTAATCTGTGCCATTAATCTGTCAGCTCACCCCCCAGCTGCAGGAGAGGCAGGCAGGCTGCATAGCGAAAAAAGGATTAGGCCCCTCACCACTTCTGCCTTCAGCAGGCTCCTGTGGCCAGCAGGATGCCTGGGGTTGCCAGTGAATGGGCTGGCTTGCCCCTGGGGCAGTGCAGGGAGGCAGCAGGAGGGTGGCTGGGTGTGCTGGTGGACAGAGAAGGCGGCAGAGATGGTGCACGGTGTGCTGGAAGTCCGGGAGAGTTTGGGAAAGCTAGCAGCCCGTCCAGGTGGCCCCACACCCCATGCACCATCCCTGTCACCTTCTCTAGCTGTCAGCACACTCAGTCCTGTCCCATACAGTCACAGAATAGCAGTTTGCTAAAGTGTAACCATATAAATAATACATCTGTGATGGGGGAAGAAAGTTCAGAAATTGGAAAAATTTAAGAAAAGAAGAGTGATAATGAATAATGAATTTCAAAAGGACAGTGTTGTATTCAATTAAAAACCTACACATTTTCATTTATTCTTACCTGATTTTATGCAGTCTGAAGTCTTGCAAACACTGTCTGAAAAAAAAAGCAGTGGGACAGATAAATCCTTCATGAATTTCCACAGGAAAGTCTATTTAATGTATGTGACTCTCCAGTTTAATTTCTCTGATATAGTAATTTCAGAATTGAATTTAAATGCACTGTACATTAAAATATGGAAAACAAGCATTACCTTCAATGTTAGAACATTAAAGACATGATCCTGGACACATCTTGGATGTAATTCTGAATCCCATGATATTCAAGGTAGTTGGCACAAATTATTTGCAGGATCAGGCCCTAAAATTACCCTTCCTGTTGCTGTCATTGAGTGTCCTCCTGGTGAATTATAATTAGGTGAAACTGTTTTGACAAATAGTAAGTTTGCTGAAAACTGGAATTTTAGGGGTCAAAAACTTTGACAGTTCAGGTCAAATTCAAAAATTACCTTCAGAATAAGAAATGAGGAAACCAAAATTGAAAAGGCTGAAAATTTTATTTTGACATTTTCTATGTCAAGTAATTGTAGAAAGTAATTTTTTGTTAAAAATGGAATTTTTTTTAAGTTACTCAAAAGAACTAATAACCCCAAAATTAAAACACTACTTTTCAAGTTTCAAATTTTTATTTGGCTACTGAAACAGCTACTATTGATTGTAAAAAAAAAAGTTTACAATCAATAGGAGCCCTGTAGAGCAAGAATGTAAGGAAGAATGGTATTTTCATAATGGATAAGCTTTTACAGTTAATATTGTTTTTTACAAGTCATTCTATACTATACTTCACTTCTTCACAAATATACTTTAAATGTAATTGTACAGTGAAACATGAACTGTAAATTACTAAGCTATTACATTGAAATAAACAGGTGTTTTGTTAAAAATACTGTTTGCCACTAGTTCTGTTTCATGAAGGAGGCAATCTTTTATACTCCGTGTTGGAAAAGGTAAATCATAACTTTCAATATGGTATTAAACCTGGACAAACATTTTCATTTTAACTGACTCTGCAATGCTGTCTAATGACCCTTTTACAGACAATTGCTAGGAAGCAATAATTATTAATCATCTACTTTTATACACAGCAGTCCCTGTAATTGTAAAAACTATTATGTGGTAGTAGCAGGCAACTTAATATTGACCTGACTCCTGCAAGTCGCACACAAAAGAGTTTAGCTAACAGTGCATGTGCTATAACATACTAAGTCGTTTTAGCACTGTGTTTCAGTCTGCCTCAACTTAATTCCTATTGTCTTTAGTTTTTTTACATTAGCAATTTTATAGTATTTCTATAACATTTTTGAACAACATACTTAAACAATTTTTGCGTTCAAATTATAGTTAGATAAACATCTACTTACCCTTATATGTTGCATACAGAACTATCATTGTGACAGCTATAATAGTTAGCAGAATCACTACAACTGATAGCCCTATTTCCAGGAAACTCCATCGTGATTTTTTCTTTGGTTTTTGAGTGTTCATTTCAGTTATATCCATCTGGCTTTCTGACTTTCCCATAACCCAAATTCTGAAAAAGAAAAAGCAGAATTCATTGAGACTCTATGGAGTCATATTTGTCAAATAAAGTTAGGTCATGAGCTACTCAGCGACAAAAGATATTTTTTTCTGGGCAAGCTTTAGGGGAAAAGAAAACAAGTTTGGTTTGTTTATAAATCTGATTAGCATGTTGCATGAGTTTAAAGTGGCTATAACCACCCTTCTCTTTCGTTACTTACAGATGACAGGAGAGTGTTCTTTTACATGTGGAAGCCGCTGTAGAAAAGGGAAGGCCAACAGGCCAATGCTTAATTTTAACATTTACTCATGTGGTTTAATTATATAAGAGTTTACAAGCAGGCAAAAGTCAACCCTTATTAACTGAATAAAAATTAACTTAGTCTCCCTGATCTGAAGCCAAAGGTCAAAAATGCTATTGCGCTTCACTAGCAGTTTTAAAAATCATTTCAGCAATTAGTGATTAGGGTCTTGGGGCTAAAACTAAACAACAGGAAGTAATATGGACTTTGTTTTCGGCCCCGTCTAACTCCCACTGAAGTTAGTACAAGTGTTTACACCTATTTTAATGGTAATAGGATCAGGTCCTCTGATCTCACTTTAGATCAGCATATATTAGGAACAACTCCAAGAAAACCATAGAAAGTTGGTAGATGTGAGATCAGAGTTGACTCTATCCATTATGTGTAGGAAGTAATATAAGATTTTGGAATGTTCCATGGTTTCGTGCTTCTTTAAAACTAGGATTTAGTTTATTTCTTAGAATTGCTGTTGTTCTAATATTTATTCTATGCCCTTTCGCATGTACATTGCCATTAATCTGGGACCAGATCATTCCCTCTGCTTCTGTAACGGAGAGTAAATATACTCCATTTGTCAGATGGAAACTTTGACAGTTTCAACTTGTAGAGTCTCCTTGGGATTCTCATATTGGCAATGGCATTTACTTCTTGTCCTTTCCACCTGACAGGAAAGATTCATAGATGCTAGGGATGGAAGGGACCTCGGAAGATCATCGAGTCCAGCCCCCTGCCCCACGGGCAGGAAGTCAGCAGGGATCAGATTATAGGACTCACACCAGAGTGGCAATGGAAGTCCCCAAACTCCCTGTTCATCTTCCCCAAACCAGACAACCAAAGGCATAGGGTCAAGCCACAGCATTCAAGTGCTCCTGCATTGTTCACCAGACCCGGAGGGGCTTTTTGAAGAAACCTACACAGTAGTACCAGTAGCAAATGGAGGGCCTTCTCAATCAGTTGACATTGCCACCAAGTCACCTATAAGGCCTGAAACCTTTTTTTGCATATCTTTTTTTTTTAATTTGCTGTACTGCAAATCAGTTGTTAGTTCCCCTTCACTGCTGTTCTCTCTCACTATCAGAGTCTTTCAGCTGCTCACGTCACTTTTTTCCACTCATCCCCACTCTTTTTCTCCAGCAACCTCTTCTTTCCCCTGACTCCTTCCCTGGCACAAAGAATGCCTAGACCTAATTATCTAAGCTTATACATAAAACAAATATGGGGAAAAAATTAGCAACATGAAGCTAACTTGAAATGCACCCATCCTAACACCTGATCCCTGTAGCTCTTTCCCCATTTTTCATCTTTTTAAGCTGTAAATTTTATTCCAGGTAGTAACTATTGCTCAATGGGTACTTGATCTTGGTTGGGAACATTGGAGGACATGTTGCTGTTCACAATGAGAACAAGGTATATACTCTCCCACTGTTTCCCAGTCTGAATTTAGACAACACAGCATTATTCCCTTAGTAGGCAGTAGTTGAGGAACCACAAACAGGTGAGGCACAGATCTTCCATAAGTCTGGAGGTAGATTCCTTCTCAGGTTGTCCAGCCCCTATCTTTTCATGCCTACAGAAACAATTTGAACACTACCTGTCTTCTACTTTGGGCCATATTTTGCTTGAAATTATGAGCCTTTGCCCAAATAAAACAACGGTTTCTCTTACACAGGAATAAAACCCTATAGAAACTTATACATAGGAACTAGGACTGCTCACATGAGAAGTGGCTCTATATTAACTGTGAAATCTAAGCTCACAGAAACTATAAAAGCAGTTTTAAAATTATACCTTTCTACCTCCACACACAGCAAGCACTAAACATTATTCTTTATCTTAAAAATTTAAGAGCTGACCAATCCTCAAAACCTTCTGAACACTTTCAGCTTAAATTAGAAAATAGTTCAGTTTCCTGATTTTGCAAGTGATTTGAAAGCTCTGGAAATGCAATTTATGAGAGCAACAAGAACTACTGTATTTTTTTGTGTGCAAATGTGCTTCCAACTTTTTTCCAAGCGAGCTAGTCTTTTTATTGCTGCAGGAGTGTTCCTCTTATTTAAAGGCATCCCACTGACTCATTCTTACTTGTAGTTCTTTGGGGAACCTATAAAGTCTGCATTATAGAACACCTAGTAAAGGCCTCTTTAGGTGTTAATTGCAGACACAACAAAAGCCTAGGAATAATTTAAGCAGATATGAGCCTAGGTGTTATAGTTTCATTATGTTTCTAGTGCTCCTGTGATACTCCACCAGCTGCCCACTAAAGCTAAGAGAAAACAGACAGCTGTAATTATTTCGACTGGTTCTGGCCTAGGTAGCATAGTGAGCTAATGCATTAGCCTTTTACTTCTGGATGCATGTGTTTCAAACTGACTTCCAGTAGGTCAGAAATCAAATGGGCTGTATGTCTTCGATCAAGCTGCTAAAGAAAATGCACCATGTCACAAGAGCACCATGTACTTCTACAGGAGTTAAAAATACCTGATCCAGGAACTGAGGTCTAGAGACACCGAGGGAAAAGGCAGGGAAAGGACTGGAAGAGATGGTTCAAAAGGTGCCAACAGCCACCGCTCAGGCATACAAATGTCACCAGTGGGCACCAGCAACATTTGCCAGCGCGTTTATCATTTCTTGTGCTCAGAAAGCAAACCTGAAGCCCCCGTTTCGGGCCTCCGGCTCGGTGTTTTGAACTTGCCAGCCAAGCCCACAAGCCAAGTAGGACTGGGTGGGAGGAGGTGCCTCAGACCTGCCCCTGCCCCCGGTCCCTGGGCAGCAGGTGGCACTCCTTTCGGATCCTCCTGATGGCTTTGCTGCCCCCGCTCAGGTGGGGCGGGAGATGCCCACCATCCTTGGACAAGATGCGCAACCCAGGGCACCGCGGGCGTCAAACCAGAGGCAGCCGCCCCCCTGCAGGAGGGCGGGAGGCGAGGGGGCTCCGGCTGCCGCGCGCGGG